GGGGGGGACAGGACATGCATCCATGGGGGTGCTGGCCAAGCGAGGGGGAATGCACATAGTGGGGTGTGCAGAGGGTCCAGGAATGCACACATATTTGTTTGGGGAGAGGGGAGGGTCCAGGAGGGGTGTGCAAGGGGTCTGTGCCCATTGCACACGTATACAGAGGGTTGTATATGTAATACAGGTGTCTACAGGGGACAGCAGTAAACGCTGGGGTCACCGAGGGGGTCCCCTGAGGGGTGCTGTGTGTGCCCGGACCCTGCGTGGAGGGGTCAGACTGCAGCGGAGCCTGGACCCCCAAACAGGCTCCTGGAGACCTGCCTGGCACGGGCAGGAGGAGGCCATGAGTCTCCTCTGTCACTGGGGGGACACAATGCTGCTGGCTTGCCCTGTGTCCCCACTTGCAGCAGGGTAAACTGAGGCACCAGGGTGCTGCCAAGAACATCTGGTATCTCTGGATATCAGGTCAGGGTGTAATCTGGGGTGAGCACAGGGCTTCCCCTGCCAGCAGCATCCCCACACTGTCCCTGCTCTCCCCCTCCACCCCCCTGCCAGTTTCTCCCTGATCTCTCTTTTCTCCAGAAGCACCTTAGGCAGGAGGCAAAGGAGGTGGCTGCTCTTCCCTGGATTTTTTTGGCCGGTCCCTGTGAGAAGAGCAGCAGCCCCCAACACTGGTGCACAAGGGACACTGGCTTTGACCCCAACCCACAGCCAGGGCAGCCTGTCACCGCGACCCCATGCTGCTGCACTTGGTGGTATGGGGTGACAGGAGCTCTGGGGTTTCAAGGGCTGCTGGCTCTGGCTCCTCTGGGGACACCTGTGTGCAGCAGGGACCTGGGGCAGCCACCTTTCACAGCCCAGCATGACCTGAGTCCTGCCTTTTCCCCCAGAGTGTCCTGTGGAAACAGCTGTTGGCTCCAGCTGTGGTGGGAACTGGCTTCCCTCTCGGGCTCCACAGCCCAGGCTGAGCCTCTGCCCCTCTTTGCCACGTCTCTTTGCGTGGAAAAGTCACCACTTTGGGGGCTCTCTGGCTTTCCTGTGAGCATCTCCGGAGAAACTGCCCAACCATCCTGCCATGGTGCTGGTGACCCCTCAGCTCCTCCTGCCCATCTCGGGGCTCCTGGCACCATCCTGCCCGGCACAGTGTCCTCACCAGAGAGGCTCTCCTGGAAAAATGAGCCCCTTCCCCGGGAGAGCAGGGCAGCTTCCGACCCCGCAGGGCCCCCGGGCACTGTTTATCTTTGCACAGGAGATAAAGCAGCTGTCGGCCATCCCATTTTGGGGCTGGACAGCTGTAACTCACCCTAGCCCATCCCATCCCATTGCGGTAGGGGTAGGGACCTCCCAGTGCTTGCCAGCCCTCCTCCCTCTCCCCCCC